CCCGCCTCGGCGCCTTGCGCCTTGCGCCGCCGCCGCTGCTCGCTGCTGCGGCCGCACGCCGCACCCCGCCACCCCACGATGCCCCACCTCGAGCGTCGCCGTGGAAGCCGCCGGAGGTATACGCCGCCGCCGCCATTCGTTCGGTTTTATTTTAAAACCGGTTCCGGTTTTTTTAGAAACCCTAGTTCGTTTTTTAGATCGGTTCGCCGGTTTTTCTTGGTTTAGTTACTCTGTGGACATTCGTCCGTACATTCGTTTTAATGAACGGCTTTCGCTCGTTAGTTACAGACAACGAACGTTCGTTCGTTAGCCTGTTCGTCAGTTTTCTTTTTCTCGGATTTTCCGCGATTATTTTTCAACCGCGATTTCCGGTCCGATTTTCATTTCAATTTATCTTTTCACTCGTTTATCGAAATCAGGCGATTCAAGCGCCTATATCTTTGTCTCGACACCCTCTTTCTGTTTAATCAACTTGAACAAGATTTTGGTACTGTAAAATTTGACCTTAGTCCAGATTAGTAAACGGATCTTGTTTCTTTCGTAGTTTGAGTTTCGTTGCTCTGTTTGATTTGATTCTTTTCGCCAACCGGAGTTCTTAAGTTGAACTTTCTGCTTAGATCTTCTTATTTGAGATTTACCCGTGTTTCTTTGCTTGATTGCTTATGTATGCTATTGTTTGTTTGCGATAGAACACCCGGAGTGCGAAGCGTGCTACTATGAGTCCCTAGGTTTTGTGGATCATCAGCAAGGCAAGTAACACTTTGATCATACCCCTTTATCACCCAATTTTTATGCATTAGTTCCAATCCTCAAACATTGCATGATTAGGATGTGATTAACATGTGGGTTGGGATGTAGTTGTTGAGGTAGAACCTATTGCCCTGTGATATTCAAACAATGGGAGTTACTTCTACATATTGCTTATATTTCTATGCTATGCTCGTAGACGTGGTTTGGGTGAGTGAAATCCATGACATATATGAGATTGTTAATTAATGGTTTAACTTAAGGTGGCAACTTGAATACACATCTGGGTGGATTGTTTGTTGGGCACCTGGGGAATCCAGTGTTGTCCTAGGATATCCCGGAGTACCCATGTGATAATCCTATGGTCCACCACCCAGGCTCAAAGGGAACTGAGATATTTTCATACTAGAAACTTCTGTGTGCAGCCACAAGCTATTATGGGCTCTAGCATAGTTGAGTAAGTTGCGTGAAGCTCCCGAAGAGGTGGATCAGTAGGTAGAGGGATGTAGGTTGGTATGGTCTGCCCGGAGTAAGGGGTTAATGCTTCTGAAAGACTGTGTCTCAGTCATCTGTTTCTCAAACACCATGTAGTGCGAGAAATCCAATGGAGGAGATCGAGTCTTGTGGGGAAAAGTGCGCAAACCTCTACAGAGTGTATAAACTAATCATGGTTAGCCGTGTCCCCGGTTATGGACATCTTAAGTATCTAGTACTTGGAGTATCCTAAGTATCTCATCACTACTAACTAATATTATTGGGTTGTTAATTACTTTAACTGGGATTGAGTTGGAGGAACCTTCTCAATGATGTTTCAACTACCATGATAGTTAAATAAAATCTATTCCTTTGTTGTAGGGAAAAATTGGGTTTTCGAAAAAACTATAACCATAGAGCTTTCCACCAGCCAAATATGCATGTAGTGATAGCATTATTCTGTTCTTGCTCTACTGTGTTATTTTTTGCCAGCATATTCCATGTGGTGACCCGTTTTCAGGCTGCAACGTATTATGTTGCAGACTTTTCAGGCAAGGAGTAAGGTTCGTTAGGTCGTTGCCATGCAGCTCAGCTATGCCGTTGGAGTTGATGGACTTACTTTATCTTCCAAGCCTTCCGCTATTATCGTATTAGATGGCCTTAAGCCATATTTATTGTAATAAGTTCTCTTTTGAGACATTCGATGTAATAAGTGTGTGATTACTACTCTGTTATAAATCCTTCGAGTATTGTGTGTGTCAGCATTACCGATCCAGGGATGACACTGAAGCACAAAGACTTGACCGTTTGAGGTCGGGTCGCTACACATAGCCATTCCGAGATATTATTGCCATGCAACTTTCCACCGTCCTGTTTATTATGACACGTTCCATTCTTGTCATAGTGCCTAGCATGATCATGTAGTTGACATCGTATTTGTGGCAAAGCCACCTTCATAATTCTTTCATACATGTCACTCTTGATTCAATGCACATACCAGTACACCGCCTGAGGCACGCATATAGAGTCATATTTTGTTCTAAGTATCGAGTTGTAATCATTGAGTTGTAAATAAATAGAAGTGTGATGATCATCATTATTAGAGCATTGTCCCGTGTGAGGAAAAAAAGAAAGACCAAAATAAAAAAGAGAAGGCCCAAAAAAAGGAAGAAAAAAAATGAGAGAAAAAGAGAGAAGGGACAATGCTACTATCCTTTTTCCACACTTGTGCTTCAAAGTAGCACCATGATCTTCATGATAGAGTCTCTTATTTCGTCACATTCATATAGTAGTGGGAAATTTTCATTATAGAACTTGGCTTGTATATTCCAACAATGGGCTTCCTCAAATGCCCTAGGTCTTCGTGAGCAAGCAAGTTGGATGCACACCCACTTAGTTTCTTTTGCTGAGCTTTCATATATTTATAGCTCTAGTGCATCCGTTGCATGGCAATCCCTACTCGCTCACATTGATATCTATTGATGGTCATCTCCATAGCCCGTTGATACAGCTAGTTGATGTGAGACCATCTTCCTCCTTTTTTGTCTTCTCCACAACCACCACTCTATTCCACCTATAGTGCTATGTCCATGGCTCACACTCATGTATTGCGTGAAAGTTGAAAAAGT